GCCTGTGACTGCTGCTGTAGTTGTAGCAAGAGCAGGTATAATTTTACCGGCAATTCCTTTTGTTTTCAATCGGTTGGCGAGTGGGATTTTGTAATTACTGGCACGGAGGTTGGAGCAAGCAGTGATAAAGTCGATATGGAAATTGCTGTCGTCATCTTTTTCAAATTTTTCAGGTTTTAAATTGATTGCGGAAACCTCTGAATCCTTTGGATTTGGTAGCTGCTTTTTCAAATCGTTTATTTCAATCTCGTCCTGTTCGATAAAGTCGTCGTCATCATCATCATTGTTTGTTTCATTTTCGTCAACTTGTATTTTGACTCCCTTTGCTGGAACAAATTCTGGGATCATATATTTGGCGCTCATTTCCTTAATCTTGTTATGATCGAGGCACTTGTCAATGGAATAAATACGTGCTCTTAAATTGGAGGCTGCCACAACGAAATCAAGATGCAAGTCGTTTTCAGGATCGAATTCGATCACGACAGGAGGTCGTTTTTTGCCTGTCCAGAAGGGCTCACCTCTTTTATTTTTGGCGTTCAGGGGGTAGCTAAATAACAGCTGGGCAATTTGGTTTCTGAAGAGATCAGTAAATAATTCTACAGCCCAATTAACACAGTCTTGGAAGTCCTTGGCCATTTTGGTTGACAAATCGGAATAAACGGATCGAAGTGTCTGGAGCATTACTCCAAGATTCTTTTTTTCGAGTTCCTGGATGTAGTCATCATGCTTTAGATAGTTGTTGACGTCTAATGGCTGGGTGGTGAAAAGACCTTCAAATTTGTCTCTTGCCCATTGGATGGTGTGATCGATCTTATTGGGAAAATTGTGAAGTGTACATTGTGGGATGCCCTTTTCTGGTGGATCACGGGAGTCTGCGTAGCATTCTGTCAGATATGGTACAATGACCTGCGTGTTTCCCTTGGGGCCCAATGTCCCTGATTCCAAGAGGGACTTTTTGTAGAAAACACAGTTCGAGTCAATATACAACCTTGCCTCAACGTTGTCCAGTGCGTTACAGACGCCGTCCAAGTTTTCATAAAAGTCTGGGTTGAAGACGTTTTCTGTCTCCTTGCCAACCCTGATGGAATATGGAATTATGTTGAGATCTGGGTTCATTTTTTTCACCGATTTGCAGGCGGTGGCGTCTTTCAATTCGTTGATGTCGCTGTTTCTAAACAGGAATTGCCTATTCAAATTGGATTTTTCAATGGTGTCCATATCGGTTACATGGATTTTCCCATTTTCCCCGGTACCAAGGCCCATCATGGCCCAATTTTTTAACATTTCGCACCCAATGGCACCTGCGCCAACCAAGAAGTAATTGATATCTTGGATTTTCTTTTGGATTGTTTTCCCAAAAACTGCAATATATGGATCATACCTCGAATTTTGCAATTCAAATTCTTCATTATTGATCTTGTCATAATCCTTGGGCAATGCCTTAAGGAAGTCAAGTAATAGCCATTGCTTAAGTGGTGTAAATTTACTCGTGCAGGCTTTTAAAATCTCTTGCCCAACAACTCCTCCAAAGAAGGCAGTCATGGGGCTAAGTTCACCATACCCCATGTATGCAAAGCTTTTAACGAGCTCCTCTGGGATTTCTTCGAGAAATTGCTTTGGCACCTTGTTCTTTTCCTTTTCGTCCTCAATGCCCTTAATGGCTTCTTCGTATTGCTCCTTTCTTTTGTCGTTGGCCTTTTTGGCGTTGCTCAAGATCTCTTGAAAGACCTCCTCTTGGTGTGGCTTTGGGATTTGGAATTTGTTTGATTTTAAATATTCGTACCATCCCAGGTAGGTATAAAACAATTGCTTCCCTAAGTCAAAGTTGGAATAGTCAGTGATATTGAATTCTGGGTTTTCTAACGATTCCCGTAAAGACAAATGGCTCGACTCGATGGGGACCTTGACTTGGGTGGCATATCCGCCAGACCCTTCAAATTTGTATTCGCTCAAGTCCGTTGTGTCTCCAATGGAAAACTCAAATGGATTCATATATTTGATTTGCCTTCTTTTCCCGTTTAACTCGGTCATGCCGGCTAATTCGCTGAATTCAACCCAATCACCATCCTCAAACCCATGCCTTGACTCCATGTTGTTCGTAACAACACCTGGGTTCGCCTTTGTGATGCTAGTGATCATAGTCGTTAAGCATGGCTCGCCATTTGGGTCCGTGATCAAAAAGGTCTTTCCAAAGTCACAAAAGACTTGCCCAAATAATCCACGTGTGTCGGTTTGAATAAATTTGATCCCCAAGCTGTGGCAAATGTCACTGATCCCAAGGACTTTTTCAAAATCCGTTTGGTTAACACACACCACAACAGTATAGTTCTTTAAAAAGTCTTCGTCAAAGCTTGAATTATCAACCAAATGAATATTAACATATTCATTGAGTTCCTTTAATTGTGGCAAAGAGACCTTTGCTCTGTTTTTTCCAACATCAGTTTCTTTAAAATAGAACTATTTAGAGGTGTTTGTTTTTGGTTTTTTTTAATTATTTTTTTTTTTTTTGAGGATGTTAATTAGCGGTCAAAAAGAAAACAAAAAAAATAAAATAAAAAAAAAAAAAATTCTCAAAAAATGAAAGAATAAGAACACCATACATGAGAAGAAAGATCAGAAATTTTAACGCATTGATCGTCCCAAATTGTAACACTTTTAACACCTGCCAAAACAATATTTTTAGCTGTAAAGAGGATAAAATAAAACAAGTAAAAAAAAGGAGAAAAAAAATTATTTTAAAAGACCTCCAAAAAGAAAAAGAAAAAGAAAAAAAAAAAAAAGAAAAAACATATTAAAGCAGAGAGAAAAATAATTACATATTTCAATACCAAGGCCTGATAAACCTAAAACAAGAACATTTGTTTGGGTAAGTTTTTTCATGGCTTCTTCACCAAGAGCATAAATTTGTCTTGAATAAAGATCTTCGTCCACTTTAGTTTCCTTTTCAATTTCAATTTCCATTTCTTTTGACATTGAGAGTGTTCAAAAATAAATTATTTTGTTTGTGTTGAAAAAAACAAAAATAAAAAAAATGAAAATTTTGATCGAGAAATGATTACCATCCCATAAGAGATTTGAGTGTTAAATACTGAAGGGGAGGATTACGAAACTCAAATCAAACTTGAAAAATCTGATTCGAATTTAATTATGAATCATTTTTTTCAATCCAGAATTTAAAGGAATTAATCTCTAATTTACAATTGTCAAGTATTACTAAAAGGGCGGAATTCTTAATTTTCAGATTTGAAATGTTGTTTCTGAAGAGTGTAAAATACTTTTGTTTTGGAGATATAATTCAGAGTTTCTAATTGGTTTTGAAAAGCTAATTTAAAGGATCACTTTGAACGTTTTTCTTGGAGTCGTCTGGTTTTCTTTCAATACACTTTTTAAAAATAACAATAGTTACATCCTTGGATTTAAAAAAAATATTACAAAATAGTTTTGGTTGTGAAAAATTGCAAGTTTAGATTTGAGAAAACTTATTTGGTTTGGATTTGAGTTTGTGATGGAACTTTTGAACCATGTTTGTTTTGAGAAGGTGTTTTAAGAAGTGTCAAAGGTAGAAAAGCAGTAATAGCATTCTTTTTATGGATCAGATTTTTGTCCAATTGAATTTATTTTCAAATTCATTTTCAATATTTTTTCCTTGGTTCTAAATGGAGACAGGATAAAAGTAAAAGCAAAGTGTGATTAAAATGTAGATTGTGTGAATTTAAATGAATTTTGGAAGAAAGAAAGTTGATAAAAGTTAGAACAAAAAGAAAAACCTTTTGAAAAAAGAAAAGATTCAGACTAAATAAAAAAGGAAGACTCTCTCTTGTTAAATGGGGTTTAAAACCCACTGAGTAAAGGTACTATTTGTTGCAAAATAAATGGAACTAAATTTTCATTCAGCTTTCCAAAAAAAGATTTTAAATTGTGTTGTAAAATTTCCAATTTTTAATACTGTAAAAACCAGTTTAAATTATTAATTTCCTCTTTTCAGAATTGGGATCTTCATAATTTAAATTAATTCTATGATAAATTTTTTAGGAAAGCTGAATGAAAATTTTGATCTCTATATTTTAGAATTAACAGTAGTGTAAAAACTTTTAAGTTTTTTCTCTTTTTTGAATATTTTTTTTTTGCCTTGTTTTCTTTTGTTTTTGGTGATTTTTTTTTGTTCAGTGTCTTCGACAATTATTTTTGTTATCAGTCAATTTTTTGTGCTACTCTAAATTTATTTGAACACTCATGTATATTTTCACAACCCAAAAGGAATTTAATAATTCCTTTATTGAGGCTTAATATTTTTTCTTTTGTCAGCTTGAATTATGGTTATTGCTCGGCTTTGAAAAAAAAAGTAAAACGAAAGTTTAGTGTAAAAAAAAACAAAAACGAGTTCTGGTAACCTTTTCAATTTGGAGAACACAATAAGTTCTAAAATTAATTGGGAAATGTTTTTTTGTTCGAAGAACTTTCAATCGTTCAAAATTGTTAGTTTTGGATATAAATCCTATTTCTTTTTTGAAAAGATTGTTGATCCAATCGATCTTGTTAAAATTTTCAAGTTTGGCTGTTTTTTTATAAACTTTCCAGATAAAAAACCTTGTGTTCTTTCAAACTGATAAATTTACCTTGAAAATGTTCGAAAATGGAAATTGTCTTTTGAAAAAATCACTCAACTTTCATTTAAAAGACGTAGAGTTTAGTTCGTTGGTTTAAGTATATTTGAAGATTATTTAGAATCTATCTGGAGTAATTGGCAAAAAATAACTTTTTGAAATTTTACGATTATTTCTTTTCACAGGTTTGTTCCAATTTTGATTTAGTCTGATTTGTAATTCATTAAATGTGTAATATTGTGTTTTGAAAAGTGATAAACATTTGAATGATTTTCATTTGTTGATAGTGGGGAAAAAATGTTTTAATAAGACAACTAGAAGGTTTTGTACTTATTGAAAGCCAAAATTTCGGTAAATTTCATATATCAATAAAGAGTTTTGACCTATTTGATGCCTGCTAATGTGGCCGAGTGGTTAAGGCGCTGGATTTAAGTCCCAGTGGAAGTATCCGCGCAGGTTCGAGTCCTGTCATTAGCAATTACTTTTTTTATTCGAATACCATAAACCATCTTTCAATATTTTAAATCTTTTTTATGAAAAGCCTTCCAAAGTTTTGGTGAATAAAAAAAATAAAAAAAAATTATTTTTTTTTAACAATCAAACCACTAAAAAATAAACAAAAAATCTATATTAAATTAAAAAATTTCAACCAGTATCACTTAATGATCCCTGATTTTCTCCAAATTTATAAACGAACACCTTACCATCTTGCAACCCAGCTAAAATAAATCTTACTTCATCTGATATACAAAGTATATATATTTTTTTTTCTTAAATTTAAAGTTTTCACAATTTTTAAATTATATAGCCATCTAAACTATTTTCCAGTCAAAGGGGCCCAGTTTTAAGATACAAAATACATATATTTAAAGAGGTTGCATGGATATTAGAAAAAAAATTTGATTTTGGAAATTTTCAAAATTATAATCATTTTTTACATTTTTACTTTTTTTTTTTTCAGATTTTTTTTTTAACACCTAATTCAGTTGCAAAATTTTTTTTTATTACACAAGATCGATACCCATACTGGTAAAAATGTGTTATTCTAAGGTTATTGATAAAGTAAAAATGATTGTAGAGAAATCATTTTGATTCCTATCGAGATTTTATTTGGATCTTCAAAATGAGAGCTAAATACACATTGCTATTTTTTTAAATTGGATCCGAAGAATTTGAGTTTTTCAATTTTTAAGAAAATTTATTGATTAATTAGTTTTCGTTCAGACATATATCAGCAATTCATTGATGTTTATTATTCAACTTATTTCTTATTTTTTTCTCCAAAGGTCAAATATATAAAATAATTGATATTTGAAAAAAATGTTTGGGCACCTTTGACTGAAACAGAGTTTAATTTGTATATTTCCCTTTGTTGAGACATATATCAAAGATTGTCTGTCTTGTGTTAAAATCCAACAAGAAAATTTATGGACTGAGTTAGTAATTGGGCACAATTCAATGCTAAAGGTATATACATGTATTTTGCCATTATAAATAGAGTATTTGTTTAATTTATAACAAATATTCTTTAAAAATACAAACAAACACCGACTTTAAAATCTGTATTGCTTAAAAAGAAATATTTATAGGTAATCATATTTATTGCTTAATTTGCCATATTTTAAACAATTTTATACTATTCACACAAAAATGATTGATCCAATTGTAAACAACGGATAAGTATACTTACAAAAAGAACTTATTTTGCAAAATAACACATATGACTTAGAATCCGGGGATAACGTACTCTTTGCCCAAATCTTAAAATTAATTCATAATCAAAAAATAGCAATATTTAGTAGAGCTAAGTTGTTTGTTTAAATGATTGGGAAGATCAAGTTAATAGAACCAGAAAGAAGGTAAAGATAAAAAATGTTATCATTGATCAAGTTTACCACCCACTCCAAAAATAAATTTTATTCACCATTTCTCATTTTATTTTTTTTTAGACTCATATTTCGCTTTAGTACAGAGAGGTTTGCACACACCCAATGATAAACAAAAACGTGGGTGCTCACATCTTTCAAGAACTGTAAATGTAACCTAAAATTTCATAATCCATTTTTAGAAAAAGAAAAGTCCTCTAGTCAACCCGAAATACCTAAAGTATTACAACTTCAAGACTCATTATTTCTTCACTGTCATTTAAAAAGAACCAATAGATGCCTTTTACTTCTTAAATTGTTTTATTTATTGCTAAAACAATAGCTAATTTTAGTACATTATCACCGGACTCAAATCACATTTTAAAAATTTTTTTGAAATTTATTTCTTTAATTTTCAACAATAAGTCCCATTCCATTCACTCCTCATCAAATTATAAAACTTTTGCTTTAAAACTGATCAGCTTAAAAATTTTTTTACGAGAAAAAAAATTACATACTGCAAAGTTGGTATTTTTGAAAAAAATATGTTTGAAAAACGTAAAGCCTTCATTTAAAAATTGAAGGAATGCTTTATTGAACAAAATACCCAAAAGAAAAAAAAAATAAAACAGTACTGACATTGTAACGTAAGACATATACAAAAATTGAAAATAAAATAATCATTTTAAAAAATTCAAAAAAAAAAATTTACTATTATGTACTCAAAAATGTTAAACATTTCAAATTAAAAAAAATTTTGATCAATTTTCCAAATTTTAATTTTTCATTTATAAAGTAATATCTTATAGATATTAATTTTATACCTCTCATGTTAAATTTATTTATTTTTCAATTATAACTAATTATTATTTTTTTTGGAATAGTTACAAAACATTAAATAATCAAGATAAATAACAGTATTACAAAAAAAAAAAAAAAAAAAACACCCAATAAATACATTAATATTAAAAAAAAAATTATTTTAAAGTCAGTTCCACTTTTACGACACAAACTTTCAAGGAAATTTAAGTCATGGAGAAAATTCAATTTAAAGTACATTTTTTCTCTCTTTTTTTTTAACAGAAATTATTACAAGAATTTTAATTTTGAGCTTTAATTTGATATTCTTTTGTGCCTTAAATCACCTTGAAAGTTTGTGTCTTAAAAATGGAACTGACTGTGGTAAAATAAATTTTTAATAAATTTAAATATTTTTATTACAAAGAATGAAGCTATTGAAAGTCTCTCATATCCTTTAGTTTCTTTATTATTAAAAGTTTTGATTTACTGTAAACTTCAAAAAAAGATACAATTGACAAACAATCCAATAAAATTGATAACTTAATATAAGAAAAAAAATTTCTATTTAACTTAAAATTATTTATGAATCTTAAATTAAAAAACAAATTCTACAATAAAATTGAATTTATCGTTACTATGTTAGATTTTATGAAATGTGTCCTTTCTATTTAACAAATGATTTATTAATTGCCCAATAATTATGCGAATTGTTCAGTTTATCAGATCATTGTGAACAAACCAATCAATGGTTTCTATTATTTTTATTACACAATAGAAAATATATTACACAACATTATTTTTTCATTATACAGCCACTTTTTCTTTTACACAAACCAATTACACTTTAACACAACTATTCAAATATCTTCAGTTGTTCCAAGCCCACTATTAAAATTTACAAAACATATAGATTGACTATCTCGTATAAAATCTGTTTTATCTGTTGATTACCATTCAATAAAAGTCCTATTTTTGATCCTAAAACATTTAAAAAAAAAAAAATCAAAATAAATTTTTAAAAAAAAATATTATTTTTTTTCATTGATATATTTGTAAGTTTTTTTTAACATGGATTTTTAAAAATTTAACTAATTTGGTCAATAGTTTGAGTCAGATTAATAATTAATTTTTTATAATGATTTGTTAAATTTTTGACTTTTTAAAATCTAGATATAAAATAAAAAATATTATTTAATAAGAGGCCAAATATCAAAAACCATTTTCCAAGACCTGGATTAATTTATATTGAACAATTGGTTTTTACTAAGATTTTTTTCAAATTTTTACTAATTACAAAATTCAAAAAAACAATCTTCATTTCAAAAATTATTCTATTATTTTTAAATAATATTTAAAAATTATTATAATTTTTTTTAATTCAGACTGATTATTTTGTTTATTAAAAAAGTTTTTTTTTGATTCAATTCCAATGTAATAAATGAAATTATTTTACAATTTTTTTATAAGTATTTTTTATTACTTAAATAAATTTTTTTGAAAATTATTCATAATAAACTGTTAATTTTGGCCTAAAGAAATGAATTTCATTTTTATCTTGACAATATCGATTAAAAATTTAAATAAAAAAAAATTAAAATTTCTCAGTTATTTATTTTTATATTTGTTTTCTTATCATCAAATTAACAACTTTATTTGATAGTTATTATTAATCAATCAATGTATTGAGTTTTGAATTACTATTATTGTTCTCAAATTTCCTATTTAAAAAAATACAAATATAATTAAAAATCTTGAAAGAAAATTGTAAAAATGAATAATTATTGCCCCCCGCCAACACAAAGAAAAATAAAAAACCATAACTACTTTATCTTCGAACTATTTTGACTTATTATTATATATAAAATCTGGATTAAAGATTAAAAAGTCAATAAATATATTAATATTCCAATATTATTTTAAATCTTTTATAATAAATATAATTAAATTAAAGCAAATCCGCAGCGCTGATATATATATATATATATATATATATATATATATATATGCGTATATATGTGTATGTGTATATATGTGTATGTGTATGTATACGAAAAGTTTTACTTTAAATATAATTTTTCCTTACATAATTTATTTTTATTATCAGCAACAATGACTTCTATCTACCCCCTTCAATTAAATCTTCCAAATCTCGACAAAAAATTGGGTTTAATTTTATTTGTAACAATATGTATCTACCAAGTAAAAAAAAGTAACCCCCACTAAATCTCTTATCAAAGAAACAATTAAATTAAATAATTTCAAATCTTAGAAATCACAGAAATCCAAAAACTTCTATTTTTAAACAATTTCAAAATTTAGTATTTTTCATATGAATCTGTCAAATATTCCCGAAAATACTCGAAAATCGAAAATACCCAAAAATTTTTTAACAACGAAAAAACTCGTTTTAAACAACTTCTAAAAAATCCGAGTGTCAATATACTCAGTTTAACGGTAAATTTGTAATTTTATTGTGGAAAAAAATTTTTCTGATGAAAATATCAACCTTCAAAAAATTTAAATTTTAGGGAATGGTATTCAACCCATTTTGTGTAAAAGGTGTTGTTATCTTAGATGACTATAACATTTTGATCATTTCGAAATGGTATTAATGAAATGAGAGAACATGTGCTTGTTAAGAAAATTTCTAATTGTGTATCATTACCCATAATTTTGTAATCTTAAAGACGATGTAAAAATAACTGAATAATAACTAATTGTACTATACATACCCATATCCTACTCAAGGTATAACAAGCAAAACCTTTTTTTAACTTCCCATTCCTTAAAAGAAATTGGTTTAACCAAAAC